CAGGTCTGATTCATAGAAGATCAGGTTTCCTTTCTGCAGCTGCTCAAAAGCCAGTTTTCCCAGAGACTCAATCATCTTCCTGCTCTCTGGACTCCAGCGTGGATCTGTCTCAGAGCCTCCATCATACTTGACGTTCTTCACTTTTGTCTGAACCACCAGGAAATGGATGTACATCTCAGTCAGGGTCTTGGGCAGCTCTCCTCCCTCTCTGGTCTTCAACACCTCCTCCAGAACTGTAGCAGTGATCCAGCAGAAGACTGGGATGTGGCACATGATGTGGAGGCTTCGTGATGTCTTGATGTGGGAGATGATCTGCTGGCCTGCTCCTCATCTCTGAACCTCTTCCTGAGTACTCCTCCTTCTGTGGGTCATGAACCCTCTGATCTGTCACCATGTCAACACACTCAGGAGGGATCTGATTGGCTGCTGCAGGTCGTGTGGTTATCCAGAGGCGAGCAGAGGGAAGCAGGTTCCCCCTGATGAGGTTTGTCAGCAGCACATCCACTGAGGTGGACTCTGTAACATCAGTCAGGACCTCATTGTTGTGGAAGTCCAGAGGAAGTGACACTCATCCAGACCGTCAAAGATGAACACAACTGGAACTCTTCAAACCTGCAGATTCTGCTTCTTTGTCAGGAAAGAAGTGATGAACAAGTTCCACCAAGCTGTACTTTTTCTCTTTCAGCACATTCAGCTCTCTGAAAGTGAATGGAAATGTGAACTGTATGTCCTGGTTGGCTTTGTCTTCAGCCCAGTCCAGAGTGAACTTCTGTGTTAAGACTGTTTTCCCAATGCCAGCCACTCCCTTTGTCATCACTGTTCTGATTGGTTCATCTCTTCCAGGTGAGGCTTTAAAGATGTCTTCTTGTCTGATGGTTGTTTCTGGTCTGGCTGGTTTCCTGGATGCTGTTTCAATCTGTCTGACCTCATGTTCATCATTGACCTCTGCAGTCCCTCCCTCTGTGATGTAGAGCTCTGTGTAGATCTGGTTCAGAGGGTTCGGTTTCCTGCTTTAGCAATGCCCTCAAACACACACTGGAACTTCTTCTTCAGCTTAGATTTAAGTTTACGCTGACAAATTGCATGAGGTGGTCCTGAATGAAGATGCAACAGATAAAAATAAATAGGTGATTTAAAAGGAAAACAAAATAATTTAATTCCCCTAAAGAATGCACATATAAACACATTTCCCTATATCATGAGACATCAGTAAATGTCCCGTTATCCAGCAGGTTAAATCTTTAGAGAAATCCTCTTAGCTCTGCAGACGCTCAGCCAGCTCCTCCTGCTTCATTCTCCTCAGGAAGTGCAGTGTGATCTTCAGAAATGCCTCTCTGCTGCTCCTCCTCTGCTCTTCCTCCTCACCGTCCAACACCTCCTCATCCTCGCTCTGACACTCTAAGTATTCTGGGTAATCTGATCTCAGATTCTTCTGGATCTTCTTCAGTTCGTTCTTCACAAAAGTGACAATGTTCTCCTCCAGCAGCTGGAACAGAATATTATTAGTGACTAGGCCTACATGATGTGAAGAAAATCTGTGATGATGACATGACTTGCAATATATATATATAGAATTATAATATAATAATAAAAATTTTGAAGTGTGCATTTTTGCTGCCTGGTTGTTTTAAATTCACTGTGTTAGAACTTTAACACTACGTGTCTGTCACACTGCCACAAGTGTGGAGGTGACAGTTGGTGTGTTGTGTGTTTGTGTTGGAGTTTATTTTGTCCATTTTTGAGCATGAGAGGTGCTTGGTGGGTTTTGTTTTTTGTCAGTCTGTGTGTGGTTTCTGTCTCTCTCTTCCTCTCCCTCTCACTCATCCTTTCCTTCCTCTCCTTCAGGGCGAAGTTGTGGGCTGTGCCACTCGAACACTGGGCGTTTCTCTCCAACTGCAGGCAATCTGCTTTTGACACACCTATCTCCTGTGATCATCAGGACGAGCTTGTAAACCCTGCCCTCTCAACAGTTCCCTGCCGATTATAAGTCATGTCTGTAGGTGAAACTACGATCTGTTTGTACCTGCCTCGTGTGACCTTTGTGCCTGTGACTGAATCTGTTTCCTTGTGCTCTGCTCTAGTCTTCTTGGAGATCCTGCTCTGCTCTTGTGCCGCTCTGATTACAGAGAACGCCTAGTCAGCCACCCTTTTCCCTGCCTTGCCTGCTCATGCTCTTATGTGCCACCCCCTCGCCACTCCGGAGGCACCTTTCCCCCAGCATCTAGCCCACCTAATCAAATCTTGTGTTCAATAAACTGTGTGAAAACCTTCTTGAACTGTGTTCTTGTCTGCATCTGAGTTCTGAGTCACAAAATGCCTGACAGTGTCAAACTAAGCTGAACAGTTAGACTACAGAGAGACTGCTTTCAATTTAGCTTGTTTATAACAAATTGGCTATTAGCTGAGCTAGCATGCTGTGCTTGTGTAAAACATTTTGTCTATGCTTGTGTGTATTGATAAACTATTGGCTTTTTACTCACAAAGGTTTTATTGCACGTACTTGCAGTAAGAAGCATCATTTTCACCAATTCCATTAAGTTGGCGTTACCTTCAACTTAACGTCACGACTGTGACCTATTTGATCTGATGGCTGCTGTGTGTGTGTGTAGGAGCCAATACAGAGGGCAGGACAGAGGCTGCTGCCTGATAAAACCACAATCTTTAGCACCAGGACCTATTCAATACTGTGTTTCAGTGCAAAACCCTAAAAAACATTATTTTTTTATTATTTCTGGCATTTTATTTTGCGATGACGATGAAAATACAATTTATCAGTCAACACTATGAATGACACAATTAAACTAAAATCATGGAACCAAACATCAGATCCATGTTGGACAGACTGACAATCCACTGGTCTAAAAAGTGCAGCGTGGAGATTATTGTGAACAGAATAGATGGAAAAGTAGTTGTTGTACATGTACAGACCATAAATATGGAGTCCAGGTGTGTTTGATGCTGCTGGGCAGACTGACCACTGGGAACCTCTGAGCTCTCCTGGTGGACTCTGTGGAGGAATCATGAAGAGTTAGCTCACATTATGTCTGTCCACATAGAGGTAAAGGTCAATGATGTAATACTTGGATGTGGAACAATGATTTAGATTACTCAGAAGTGGGAAATGTTAGTAGTCCTGCTCATTCCACTGGGAATCTGCAGCTGTTGATTCTCAGTGGGTCTGTGTACGTTTTGATAGTTTTTCGTTTGAACCAATAAACGAACAAACGAGAAAACCCCCTTTTTTTGTTTGTTGTTTCAAACCAGAAACGAAGAAACGGAAAAAAAAGCTGTTCTCCCTTTTGGTTTCTGAATCAAAAACGACTAAACCAAATTCAAGTAACGGTCTGATTTTGTTTATTGGAATTCCTATTTTTATTTCTCCGTTTGAAGATAGACATTGAGAAAATAAAGACAGGTGGGCCAGGTGACCCGGAAGTAATGGTAAACATATTAAAATAAAAGCCAAGCTTGTAAAACGGCCAGATCTGTAGCATTACGCAGGACTAACATTATACCAGGGTGATGTTAGATGAAAATAAATAAATAAATAAACCTGGACCGAGACAAATACGTTAGACAACAGTAGCTGATTACATGCACTATAATATTTATTAATATATTAATATTGCATTTATTCATGTGAATAGCAAGAATCACATTTTTTTAAGCGCATTGTTTGGTGCCGTACGGTTGGTAGGCTAATATAGGTTAACCTAAGAAATTAATATGCGTGCAGAGTTGTTACTGTCAGCGCTATATTTTTAATATTAAATTCATTTTTAATGTGGTTTCCACCGTAATGAACCAAGCTGTTGTTGGTTCATTGGTTCAACCGCTGTTGTGCGCTGCTCAGTGACAAGTATATAGATAGAAATATGTGTATTGTTTTTATTTTGTGCTATTTGTTTTCTGAACACCAGTGAGGGAAAATTGTAATCTGTAGGCTTTAGGAGTGCTTTTTGGATTTGTCCATTATAAGCCTAAGACGTTACTTGCTTTCAGTGTTGTAGCTTATTATGTTCAAGTTGAGTGAACGTGTGTGACTTGACTACTGATGTTTGAATATAGAGATAATCATTTGAGCAAACTCTGTAGGATATATCTCATTCTCTTTTTGAACAGTCTTGGCTAATTGTTTTTGTGTCTAGCCTCATTTATATGTGCTTTTATTGGTGTAGGCTATTGTCTTGACAGTTTTTGAGAGTGCACCCAATGCCATAGCATACCTTAAAAACTCACTGTTCAGATAGGCTTCTTTAGTCAGCTGTATGAACCCAAAATAAACATTTTGCTGTAATTATGTTGCAATAAATGGCCCGGTAGAAAATCGTGTCCCTCTGTGTCTTTGCATTGACTTTGTATGTAATCACGCCACCCCCAACACTAGCATCACTGTGTGCAGTCCACACAGAGGTTTATATAGTTTGTCATGCACTCAGTAAGCCCATCAATGTCCTCACCATGTTGCTCACAGAGTGCATCCCAGTCTGTCACAACATCTAAACAACAGATAGGCTACTTGTTGGTCAGTCCGAAATATTTGTATTTTGTGGATAACTTTCATCCCAGATGAACATAGTGGCCAAATCCATACCTAGTTTGTTACCCGTTACATCAACAAATAGGGTTACCTCTACCAAATTAGTGGTCCGTATCCGGTGGTTTGCATGAACAGGATGCCCAAGGATTGAGTCACATTTCTGGCCTGAATTATTGTGCCACTCCACCCTTGGCTGAGGGAGTTTATATGGCGTAGATTTAGCAAAAATACACCATGAACTGTATCTACTGCACTAGATGTGGTCAACTACATTCGTGAAAAAACACGTTTGCTAAAGACGCTAGATCTATGAAGAACTTTGCACTCTTGTTAACGATGTTGTGGCCTAGTCATGTTGGGCCTGGGCCCATCCACTTGACCCCCAGGCCCACCCAATCAGAAGGCCTTCTTTCTTACTGATCGATCATCCAGTGCGGTCAAAACATTTTGTTTCTTCCTGCTTGTTTACCATTTGATGATGACAGGTCAGATTTTTTTGAATGGCACATTATTTAGCAAATGCCAGGTAGCAAACAGCCCCTCCTCTTTCACTCAGTGAGTGCATTGCACGAAACAGTCTGGTTTTCAGCTATAGCTAGCTTATTTTAATGTAAATTTATAATCATGGCAAAACAAAGCAATTTGTTCAGTTTGTAACAAAAAGACGCCGTGAGGAACAAGGGGAAGAGAATTCACCTCATGTTCAGCCACTATTTTCAACCCAGACACCTACTACTGCACCGATTTCTCCTCAAGAAGTGCCAAGTAGTAGCAACACACACGATGCTAATTCAGGCTTTCCCCCGTCAGCAGCAGCACCTGAGTCTACAAACATATTAACCCCTCCATGCCAAAGCACAGGTAACGTTAGGCCTACATACAGCGCCAAGGACAAGCCCCAGACCTGTCCAATATAGATGAACCTGCGACCCAGCCCAAACGCAGTTCATTCATTCCCAGTAACCACTATAGCAGGCAAAGCTAGAAGTTTTTCTGTCTGGTGGTATGAAAGATTTCAATGGCTAGAGTACAGCACTTCCAGGGACACTGTGTTTTGTAAGCCATGTCTCCATTTCCCCGAGGCAGCCACTTTTATTTATTAAAATTGGGTTCAATGACTGGAAACATATTTCCCAATGTTGTGTTAAACACGGGGGTAGCAGGGCGCATTCTACAGCGCTGGGCAGAGCCCAGGGATACAAGCAAAGCCACCAGACTGGACGGACAAATATTATCAACCAGCTGAACAATGATGCTATGAACAGATCATTTGTGGAAAGGAATAGAGCACATTAAAGTTGTAATAGACCTCGTTTTATTCTGTGCAAAACAAGATATCCCGTTGCGTGGCATCGTGAAAATGACGAGGCATTGAACAGAGGCAACTTCTTGGAATTACTTAAACTAATTGCTAACTATGACCCACAAATAAAACGTCGACTGGATGAATTGCCAAGAAACGGGAAACTTACGAGCCCCAAATACTGAATGAGATACTGGAAATCGCAGCATCGCTACTTATCCACAAAATAAAAAGAGATTTGCATGAGGAGACCGACACATACTAAAACGAAAAGCTTGTGGCAGTCTGTATCAGATACATACCCAAAGGCCAGCTGAAGGAAAGGGCTCTGGGATTTGTGCAGACTGGGACATGAACGCAAATGCTATATCAGCAAAGATCCTGGAAGTACTGGAGCCATTGCAGCTGGACCCAGCTCTGTGCGTTGGCTTTGGTTTTGATGGGGCATCGGTTATGTCTGGCAACAAAGGAGGGGTACACATGATTTTGAAGCAAACGTTCTCTCACGCCATATATGTGCATTGCAATTCCCATCGCATAAACCTCGTCCTGTGCACAATATCAAAGGTGTCCCCCAGCATTTCAACATTTTTCGAGGTCATCAACAACCTGCATAGTTTCATGACAGGGTCACATAGACAGGCTATATTTATGGAAATCCAGCAACAGCTGCGACCAGGGAAAACAACACTAGAACTAGAGAGATCCTGCGATGTCCGATGGAGCTCATGGTCAAGTGCAGTAAGTAAAGTCCTGGCACTTCTGGGCCCAATTTTGGAGACCCTTGCTGAATTCTCTGAAAGCTCCGGCC